ATGGCTTCCACTTTGAGGGATTCAGACAGAGAACTTCAGAGTTGTAGCTGCCTGCATTTCTAAACTATCCAAAATAATGTGTCTCCAACTCACAAAGTTCATCCCAGACAAAGTATTTTAGGAGAGCCTGAACCCACTCAAACACAAAGTCATTAAATGCCACATATTCCATTTAAACCCATTGATTCATGCTTCCACCTCCAAAGATGAACAGCTCACAGATTTGGTCTTTCCACTAATAAAAAAGATGCCAACTCTCTGCCTAAACATTAGGAATTTCTCACTATGTACGTACACAAGACAATTTTTAATGTCACAACAGTGACAAGGTTTGTTGTGGTTTGCTGGGGTTTCTTGCACAGAATGTTTTTCTCCTACATCTGTATTCAAATCTGTTTTAATAACAAACCCCACAAACAGAGCACATTCATGTCCCAAAACTCACCATCACTGATGGTTTAACACACACACAGAGATTTCCAGTTGGTCAGCATTCATTTTAGCTCAGCTCCACATCCCGTTAATCCAATGGAATCCAATAATGTTTGCTTTAATAGCACAGCACAACACAAGGGATCCGACTTTCCACTCTAAACCCCCCATTCCAGGGCAGCATCCATGACCCAGTAACCCACTTCCAGCAGAGGTTAAGGAAAGGTACATCAGACAGGGAAGTTCACTCCTGTCATTCATACAACCTGTGCAACTACTCAAGATATCAAAACTTCTGCTTCTCCTAAATTTACATGGCTGAACAGCTCCAGCAAAAGCAACAGCCCTGTCCTCACCCTGTTTCCAGCAAAACCACAGCATCCCTCCTCAAGGAACAGCCCTTGGCAGCTTGCACTGCAGCACCTCTATAATGAGCATAATGTGCCCCAACTGGCATGCTTCACTTTTTGGATAGTCGGAATGAATTGTTCAAGTCCTCAAATTGAGAGGAAAGGTGAATATTGTAGGTTTATGAAGGTAAAAACCTCAGGAGCTGAGCTTTATTGGTGGGAATGGCATTGGAGATCAGACTACTGGCATCCATTTGAGATCAGACTACTTCCAGAAAGAATTCAAAATAAATACATCTATACACACACACATATGTTTTTACTATTTTTCCAACAGCCACTACAGACAGACAGTATTAACACATCCTTCAGATCCCAGCTGAACTAAAAAAAAACCACAAAAACTCCAGGAATATCACTAAGTGCCCCCTCAGCACTCGCACTGCCCCCTCAACCCTCCTGCCTGGTCACGATCCACCCTCTGAGTACAACACAAACAGACAAAGCCCTCATCCAGACTGCTCCAAAACAAGCCCCTTCTCCCACAATCCTGACAAAATGAAGAGACAGCCTTGCTAAAATAAGATCCCGATGTATATTTATATTTCTGCCATAAAATGCTATTTATTCACCGTCTTATTGGCGAGTCTTCCCAGTATTTACGAGAAGAAGCTGCCACAGGAATTGTGTCATCCCTCAAAATCCAAACGCACATTTACCTAACGTATTCAGGATGAGAATTCCTCTACTACTCCAACCTGCCCCCCTCCAATTCTCCACGGTTTCGTTCCCAGCTGCTGAGCAACACCCACGACATCCCCTACGTAAGGTACGATCCCAATTACGCTCCGTGCAGCGGCAGCGCGGATCCGTGATCCCACGGGAGAGCAGGCTCGGAGCATTACGCACTGAACTTACGCTGTCCCAGGTTTTCCTCCTCCATCCCCACGCCTAAACTTCTCCCCAGCAGGCAGCGACTGTGCTGCAGGCAAAGCTGGCCAAACCAGTGTGATCCAGTATTAGCCCCATCACCGCATCCGAGATTAATTTTAATGGCGTTGGCAATAGTGGGAATGCAAAAGACACCCTCATGGAGGCTGCTCCACAAATCCCAGGAAGTTAATTCTGGCTCTGGTCAGATATTGGGAGTCAGCTCCACGCTGTCCAGCGTGCCTTAAAGAGCGGGAGCTGGGTGCTGGTGGGATTAGAGATCAACAGGAGAGAAAGCTCCCTGATTTCACCTAACATGATCCGGGCTGCAGCATTCCTTATCAGTCCCCTTTGGCATTCCCAGCCCTGCACAATCTCAGAAGCAAATGTTTTTCCTCTGCATTACCCTAGCAGGGTAAAGTCTGGGCAACTTGAGCTCTGTTTCTTCCTATTACCCAAAAAACAGCCCTCTACATGAATCCCCTCTGTCCCTGCCGGCATCACTTCGGCATCCCCCTCCCCACACTCTCACTCAAGCGTGCCATGGCATGGGGTGTTTGTGCACAGCTAAAACACAATCATTTCTTCTGCCTGACTCCAAGAAAGGAAAAATCCAACTTGCCAGAGGAGCATCTGCATTGAGAACTGCTTTTGCTGATGGGATCAGCATTTGGGAGTACCAGGGGAAGCAGCAGAAAGGGTCGGGGACCGATTCATCATCCTCGCACGCACCACCCGCAGACATCCCCCTCCCGCCACCCCCTAGCCCAAATCCCGGCTGTAGAAAACCCATAAAAATAGAATAAACCCCCAAGCAGAAGTTGAGAACAAATGTGCTTTGAATGCTGCACAAATGACATTGAAGATGCAGAAGAAATATGTATTTGCTGTTGCACTGCATGATTGCATGGGTTTATTTCCTACGTACACATCTCACGCACCCTTCCCACGCAGATCCCCTCCCCTCCACCCCCGCGGCTTCTTCAAAAAAAATTGGGAAAATAAAAATCTTGGATCCCGAAGGATTATTTGAAAAGCTACAAACGCTGAGGGACCCCCATCTGGAGCATCTTCCCTACAGCCTGACCCATCCATGGTGTGGAGGGGGTGCAGCCACCACCCTGTGACACAATCCAGAGCTGTCCCTCTACCCCCACCCCAAATCTCACACCCCTTCCACGTTCCCAACCCGCGCCCCAGCTCAGAGGATGCTGGGCCACGCCGGGTTTTTACAGCTGTCCTTACACCACCTCTTTCGGTAAGCCCGACATCTCTGTGGCAGTGTTTGCAACCACAGGCTTTCATCCTGGAGAATCCCTCCCTGCCTCCTCCCACCTCTCTTTTTGGGGAGGATAACGTAATTTCCAGCTCGCACTGGAGGATGTTTTTTTATTCCTGCCGAGCCCGAGGTCACTTGCCAGACTCGTCCTCTGGCCAGTGTCCCCTCCACCCCAGGACCTCTCCCTCCGGCAGGGAAGAGTCCCTTATCCCTGACCTTCAGGCTGGCACCGGCAGCCCCACCGCCGCCGCCGTCCCCACCGAGGAGGCTTCTCCTTTCTCCACAGGCACAGCCGAGGCATCACGCTGCGTTTTTCCACTCCCACCACCGCTCCTTCGGTTCAAGGGGAGTCAGCGAGCCAGCAGCTCCCGCTCCCGCTCCTCTGGCTGGGGGGAGGCTCTCGGGGATGGATGAGACCCTCACCCCTCATCCCCACGGGATCTGTGCCAGGAGAATCTCAACCCGCTGGAACCAGCACGTCCCAGTGCTTGGCATCCACGGGTCCATCCCCCTGCAGACCCTCTCTGGAGCAGCCCCTGCGTTCCATGGGGGCTTTTTCTCATTGCCCCCTGGCTCCAGGAGGGGGGTGATGGGGTGAGTCCCCTCCAGGGACACAGGACCTCCCTCTGCAGTGCTGCCACTGCCAGGGTCACCCCCAGCCCTGGGCCTGTCCTGGAGGGAAGAGCAGCTCCATGAGCTCCCTCCCAGTCCTGCCCCATGTCTGTGGAGCACCGTCTCATTCCCACGGAGCTAGAACCCCTTCCATCCCACACCATGGGGGGCACAGAACTGTGTCCCCTCCAAGCTGTGAGGTGACAGCAGCCCTACTCCCCTCTCCTCAGCCCCACATGCTGCATCTCTGCTCCCTTTGGGGCTCTTCTCAGTGAAGAAGGGGTCACCCCAAATCTCCACGTGTGGAGCACCAATCTCATGTCCTGCTTGTACCAACCAATGCCACTCCTCCCACCTCAGCCCCACAGACGTATTTTGGGTAACTTCTCTTCCCCTCAAATGTTTCCTCAGCACAAGGGGGCCCTTGACACCTCCTCCACTGTGGGGAGCACTGGCAAGGGTCCACCTCAGACAATGAGGTGACAATGACCCCCATGTCCCACAGGCTCATTTTGTGGGTTTCTCATCACTCAAAGTTGGAGCAACCCCCAAATCTCCACGTGGGGAGCACTGCACTGACCACCACCACCTCAGACCACGAGGTGACACTGAGCCATGTCCATCTTACACCACAAGCCGACAACAACCCCCATCTGCCCTACCTCAGCCGGGGACAGTGACCCATGTCCACCTCAAATGATGAGGTGAAACTGACTCCTATCAGTCCCACCTCAGCCAGGGGACACTGAACCACCTCAAGCCATGAGGTGACACTGCCCCATGTCTGCCTCAAGCCATGAGATAACAGCAATGGCCATCTGGTCCACCTCAGCTAGGGGACAGTGAGCCACCTCAGCCTATCGAGGTGACACTAACGACCATCTGCCCCACCTTGTCCAGGGGACACTGACCCACATCAAACCATGAGATGACACTGACCCACCTCAAACCAGGAGGTGACACTGACCCACGTCCACCTTGGACCACAAGCTGAGAGCTCCCCTGCTCATCCAGGGGACAGTGACCCATTTTAAACCAGAGGGTGACACTGACCCATGCCCATCTTGGACCACGAGCTGACAGTCACCCACATCCGCCTCAAACCAGGTGCTGACAACCACCTACAGCAGCCCACTGACCCACGTCCACCTTGGACCACGAGGTGACACTGTCCCCGTCCATCTCAAACCAGGAGGTGACACTGTCCCCGTCCATCTCAAAGCAGGAGGTGACAGTGCCCCACATCCCCCTCGGAGCAGGGGCTGACGCTGCCCCGCGTCCCCCTCGCACCGGGCGCTCGCAGTCCCCGCTCCCGCCCCTCCGCCGCCGCGGTCCCCGAGACCCAGCGCGCCGCCCGCCCCGCCGGGGGCACGGCGGAGTCCCCGGCCGCCCCTTACCTCCAGACCTGCCCCATCTGCAGCAGGTGGATGACGGACTGCCAGACCCAGACGGAGATCCTGCAGAGGCGCTGCGCCCCGGGGGTGGCGGTGCCGCCGGCTCCTCCTACCCCGCCGGCGGGTCCCCCACGCCGGCCCGCGGTCCCCCCCATCATGGGCGGCCCGCGGCTGCTGAGCCCCTGCACGGCGCCCAGCCCGCCGCCCGTGTAGTCCTGCACGAACCAGCGGAAGCTCAGGATCTGCACCAGCACCGAGGGCAGCAGCACGAAGGCCAGGGTGAGGCCGCACCACAAGTAGTCCCGCCGGCCGTAGTGGTGCAGCGCCAGCCACAGGTCCGTGCCCACATCCCCCAGCAGCACCAGCAGCGCCAGCACGATCCACAGGCAGTCCAGCCACGGCCGCTCGGCCGCCTCGCCGCCCTCCGGCGGCCCTTCGGCGGCGGCGGCGGGGGGGCGCGGGGCCAGCGGCTCGGCGGCGGCGGTGGCGGCGGCCCGCCCGAAGAGGTTCCGCAGGCAGGCGCTCCGGCAGCCCCAGTAGCAAGACGACGTGTTGCAGCAGTGGCAGATGTGCAAGGAGCTGCTTGCGCCCGGCTCCTCCGCCACCTCGGCCGCCGCTGCCCCGACGCCGCCGCCCGTGGCCGCCGCCGCCTCGTCCAGGTTGTGCAGCTGGGCGAAGCCGCTGCCGCCGCCGCCGCCGCCGCCGCCGCCGCCGCCATCCGACTTGGCCGCCATCTTGCTGCCGCCGCCGCCGCGTCCCCGGCCCGTTCGCCGGGCGCTCGCTCGCTCTGCCCCCCCCGTGCCCGCTCCCCCCGCCCGCCGCTTCCGGGGGCGGCGCTTCCGCGGCGCGCGGGACGGGCCGGGGCCGCCTGGCGGCGACAGCGACCGGCGGCGGGGCCGGCGCGGACAGGAGGGAGCGGCGCCCTCCACACGCCGTGCCCGGGCACGGACAGCGCCCGCCGCAGCGGGCTGCTCCGTGCCCCGTCCCGCCTGGCCCGGGGAACTCACGGGGATGAGGCCTGGAGAAGGGGAGGATGAGGAGGGAGCTCAACTTGCTCGTGAGGGGGAGAGGAGGAGCAGGCGCCGGGCTCTGCTCGGTGCTGACCCGGACAGGAGCCGAGGGAATGGGCTGGAGTTGTGTCAGGGAAGGGTTAGGCTGGATAGTGGGGAAAGGTTCTGATCCCAGAGGGTGACTGAGCATTGGGACAGCTCCTCTGGGAATGGTCACAGCACCAAACCTGACAGCGTTGGAGGAGCAGCACTTGGACAGCGCTCTCAGGCTCAGGGTGGGATTGTTGGGGGTGCTGCTGTGTGCGGCCAGGAGTTGGACTGGATGATCCTTGTGGGCGATTCTCTGGACAACCTCTGCCCTCATAGGTCTTGACGCTCTCACAGGGAAGAATTTCTTCCTAAAATCCCTTCTAACCTTGCCTTTTTTCAAATTAAAACCATTCCCCTTGTCCTGTCACTCCATGCCCTTGTCCAATGTCCCTCTCCAGCTTTCTTGGAGCTCCCTTACAGCATTAGGTTGGAAAAGACTTCTGGCATCACCGAGTCCAGCTGTTAACCCATGGACATGATCACACCTAAATTGTATCTCCAAGTTCTACATCTTCACATGTTTTGGAAACCTCTAGGGATGGGGATTCCACCATCAGGTTGCCTTGGGCAGCCTGTTCCATTGCCTGACACTCTTTCCATGAAGAATTTTTTCCCAAATATCCAATCTAAACTTCCCCTGGTACAACTTGAGATCACAGAATCACAGAATGACAAAATCATTTAGGCTGGAAAGCACATCTGTAATCATCAAGTCCAATCTATTACCAAACATCACCTTGTCAACGACAGCAGAGAACTGAGTGCCGTGTCCAGTGATTCCTTGAACACCCCCATGATGAAGACTCTAAAACCTCAATGGGCAGCCTGTTTCAAAGTCTAATCACTCTTTTTGTAAAGAAATTCCTCCTAATGTCCATCCTGAACCTCCTCTTCAGCCATGTAGGACCTAGGCTCTAAGATCTCCCCAGGCTGTCTTCTCCAGGCTGAACAACATCAATTCTCTCAGCCTTTCCTCATAGGAGAGGTGTTCCATCTCTTTAGTCATCTTGAAATCACAACATCTGCACTGAATCATAGAATATTCTGATTTGGAAGGGGCACACAAGTCCAACCCCTGACCTTGCACAGGACGCCCCAGCTATCCCATCCTGCACCTGAGAGTGTTTTCCAAAGGCTCTGGCAGCCTTGGGGCCATGCCCATTCCCTGGGGAGCTGTTCAGTGCCCTATCACCCTCTGGGGAAGAACTTTTCCCTGATATCCAATCTAAATCTTCCTGACACAGCTCCAGCCATCCCCTGGGTCCTGTCTCTGTCACTGGGAGCAGAGATTGGAGCTGCCCCTCAGAGGAGATGCAGCCTCCAGTGAGGTCTGACCTCCATCTCCTCCAGCTGAACAAACCCAGTGACATCATTTGCTCCTCAGATGGCCCCTGAGACCCTTCACCCTCTTCCTGGCTCTCCTCTGGGCACTCAAAAAGTTCCATTTTGCTTCTTCCCCCAAGGCTCAGGTGCTGACACCACCACTCCCCAGACCAGCCTTGGCTGGACCCCCTTGTGCTGACCCCATCCTGCCCCAAATCAGCTCCCCAGTCCAGTGTCAACTGCCCTGTCCCTGCTCAACCTCAAATCCCAGGATCACCACTCAGTTCATCCTCAGCCTGGCTTCTTTCCACCTTCCCACCTCCAGCAGCTCCCAGGTCCCTGGGGGACCTGGGACTTCCTCTGGGTTTCTTTTTGCCTTTTCCCTTCCTATGGTTGTGCTGGGGAAGGGGCGCTCCTGTCCCTCCCCATCCCACAGGTCCCTCTCCTGTACTCAGAGAGTGGTGGAGCTGTGGCTTCCCCATCCCTGTAAATGTTCAAAGCCAGGTTTGATGGGACTTGGAAAACCTGGGATAGTGGAAGGTGCCCTGCCCATGGCAGTGGGTGGCACTGGATGAGTTTTAAGGTGTCTCCCAACCCAAAACTTTTTGGGATTCATTCTCTGTTGATAACAGCTCTCTCCAAGCACACCTTGGCACCCTGACCTGACACCTTACTGCCTTCTCAAATCCCCCACCTTGGTGTCTTCCTGTCCTTCTAACACAGGAATTCTCCATCCCCTTGCCTGCTCTTTGTCACTCCCTTACCCACTTTGGGGAACACTGCTTTTCTCACCCCGTACTTAGAGTCAGGCAGACTCTCCAGGGGCTCAGCTCTGGGCTGGAGAAACCTCTGGCAGGCTGAGCAAGCAGCTCCTGGCTCTGCTTTTGGGATCTGCCTGGAGCTGGGCTGCACCCCAGGCAGCTGTTTTACCAAAGGACCCACTGGCAGTGTGGGAAAGCCAAACTCCAGGTCCTTTCCCCCCAGTTCCATGTCACACATCTGTTCATTCATCATATCCATCTTTTCTGAGCTGTCTTGTGCTGTCCTCTGTAGGTTACAATCTCTCTTTTCCATGTGTTTTTTTTCCCTCACCATTCAATAAGAAGACTCCTTCCAGATGCTCCTTCTCCAGTGCCTGCTTCTGCCTCTTTCTGTGGGAGTTTGGATTCTATCTTTTCTCCCTTTTTTTTTTTCCTTTAAACTGTGTCAAAATATCAGGGCTGAGAATGTCAGGACTCCAGAACTGGCTGAAAAAGTTGCTGCTTTGCAGAGGCTAAATTGCAACATGGAGAAAAAAGAAACAGCTCCAAGAAGGTAGAAAAATGAGATAAATTGCAGATAAAATGCTTTTTCAGGGAGGAAAAATTAATTTAATCTTGAAGAAAAAGTGGGAGGACTTTCATGTATTAAACAGGCTATCTGGGAAAGGTGTATTTGGTGTTTCTGGGTGATGTCAAAAAAGTTGAAAAGTTTTGTGAAATCTGAAAAAAAAATGCTGTTGGTTTTGAAGTAGTTGGATCCTCCTGCAGCAAAGAAACAGAAGAAAGGGAGCAGAAAGCAAAGCTTTGGGCATGATCCACTTGGATGCACCTGATACACACCTGGATGTAGACAAATTTCACTTGGAGTGAAACTCTGGCACAAAGTTCCCCAAAGGGACAAAACTGCTATTATGTATAATATTATTTAATGGGATCAGACAAAACAGGATCCCACAGATCCCCATCATAACATATTCAAATATTGAAGATATTCTCTTATTTTCTGCAACTTTAGCTATTGCAAGAATATGGAAATAAATAAGAGCAAAACCAGCCCTCGACCAAATTACTTCATGGGCATAAGACATGTATAAATATAAATATATATATATAACTTCAACTCCCTCTCCTGATAGATACTTTCAAACCTAAATATGGCTGTTAATTCTCACAGCAGTAAGAAATAAGGACTCTGGGACCCATATTTTTGGGTGAGAAGCACCCAGATTAAGCTTCGACTTCTGATTTGCTGTATAAAGAGATATAAATGGAAGCATCCCTCATTCCCTCAAACTTTTCTGTGTGGCAGATTTGCTACATATGATTAAAAGATAAAAAAAAAATCTCCCAAAACCCAAAACAACAGAGAAGTAAACAAACTATTTCATCTTATTACTTATATAGAAGTGTAGGTGAACCAGTAAGGGGGCAGACGAGTCATCTGTTTTGATACAAAACCAACCCAAACTTGTTTGATGAGACATTCTGGTGGGAGAAGGCAGCAGTTGAGGATTTCAGCGTTGGCACGTGGAGTGAGAGAAGCAACTGCTTGGACAAGGGATGACACAATGACAATACCCTGCTGGCACTGCCCCCAAACTCCTCGGTGCAGCTGTGGCCACCTGTGCCCAGGCCAGGAAAGGTGAATTCCAGCTGCAGGGAAGAGCTGGGTGTTGATCAGAGCTCAGGACAATCTGTCTTTTCTCCCGTGGACTGAAAGAATTTGGCTTGTTTAGTTGAGCTAAAAAAATGAGGCTGGAGAAGGAATATGTTTTCCTGCCTATAAATACATCCTGGAAAATAAATGTGAGCAGAGGGAAAGGCGTTGGGACACTGAAGGGCAACGGTGGAAAAGTAAATGAGTAGGAACTGGCCATGAATATTTTTAGCCTGGAAATCGGAAGATCTTTCCAGTAGGAGTATCAGAGACTGAAATAAAAAAGTAACTCACTTAACACATCACTTCCTGATTTTATCAAGAAAGAGGCATGCCAGTGTGGAGGGACAAACAGCTGGGATGGAAGCCCTTTAAAGGTCTTCCATGCCAGATCATCTCTCCTTGGAAAGATCCTGTCCATTTTGATGCACGGTATGCTACGTTCCTTCCTGCACCAGGGGATGAGTCATGGCTACATGACTCCGTGGGTGGCCAGAAGTGATATCTCCACCACTTACATCTTAATTCCTGATTATCCCATGATGTTCTCCAGCTCCTGCTCCCTCTCTCAGCACACAGCAGAGATGTTCCCATGTCCCAGTCTCCCCACAACCCCCTGATTTCCCTGTTTCCCACAGCTGCTGCTGTGGGGTTGCTTTGGCCAAGGACTTGGGGGAGATCCTTTGCCCCTTTAGTCTACAAGAGCTCCCATTCCTCTGTAGTCCTGGCCCTCCCAGAGAGCCAGAAGTCATTGCTCAGAGCCTGTTTCTTTTATTAGCCAACACTCTGTATTTTTAGGGATTTTTTGGAAGTTGTGAGTGTCAATCACACCCATGATGAGATCTCTCAACTCATATTTTTGAGAGGAGAAATCTTTTCTTGGCACTCAGCAG